TTTCTCTCGGTAGATGTATCTAATTACTTATGTAATTAGTTAGATATGCAAAGTGTGTGCAAAGTACGAACAAAGCGGCGATATTATGAAAATATGTATACAATCGAATTCCTCTATAATAAATCTCTGTTTTTCTCTTCTTTTTCTTCTCTTCTAAAAATCTGTTCTTCTCGAAATCAAATTCTCCTACTCTTTTTGTGATCTCTCTTGCGATTCATTTTCGTACGGATGACATTAGAATAAGAAAACGGATGTAAAAAATATTTTATTTTTGTTCACCTTTTGATATTAATTTCCTGCCTTATACAGATGGAATATAAATATAAATTTGAGGCTAGAACAATAAGTCGATAATAAATTAGCATTTAATTATATAATAAGTACAGATCAATTTTAACGATGGAAGTGCAAAGTTCAGAAAAGTAGTTTTAACTTGATTTAAGTTCAGGTTCATACAAATTACGAATCACTCATAATCTGTCGCTAAGTTTACGTTGCCATTACACCGTTGACGACATGCACAGGTTGTTTAATGGCATCCGGCTGAGAGAAAGTGTCTGCCCACATATCTCCTCGTCAATGATCATTTCGATGACGAGTTACGACATTTTACATCGCGTTCAAGCGCATAACAAACTACATAGCCATTCTAAATACCGTTATATATCATGTATTAACGCATAATTAGATTATAGTAATATTCATTTATATTCATGTAATCGATTAACGCATAGAAAGCTTTATTACTGCGAAGAGAACAGAAGCGACAGAATTTTGGATATATTTTAAATTTTGAAACGAGAAATTATAATTTCTTTTCTATATAAAAATAAATGCATTCTTTCTTCTTGAAAAAGAAAAATAATAGCAGTCATTAAAAACTTGAGGAAAAAATTCAGTTGGCATAACTCAACTATGCAACTCAACTATGCTGTATTTTACTGATACATCTTTTTGATATTATAATTCTTCTTTCTTCGTCGACGATGGATGACGATGCGTCGATCAGAAAATAAATTTTACTTGCAAGATTACCTGCAAGCGCTGCAATATTTTCGAATGCTCACAAATGAGTTCCATCCATGTGTGAATAACGTGTAAATATATGCGCGTTACGGGCGATCATATCGTGATGAATACCGTGATAATGAGATTCTTCGAATTCCTTCTGCAAATGATTTCATCACAAGCCTTGGTTTCAATACGACTCGTCGTTGCAGCCGAAGCGTCAACTTGCGAGATACAAAGAGCTGAGACTTCTGAGAGTCATAATAAGCTCCAGATGCATGCCCGACAGAACTTTGTGACTGCGTGCAAACATATTTCTTTTTATTTTCTTTTCATTTTCCTTTCGCCAAAAACGATTAGACGCATTCAATTCGAATTAATCGCATAAATATATTTTTTTAACAATTATAATCCGTTTCCATTTTCAATTACAATTTCTATAAAGTAACGTTGATCGTAATTAATTAAACTTCGTTTCGTCGTTTTTATATTCTACAGCTAATATTATTCAGAAAAAAATTTTTTAACAATTAAAGATTTTATTTCATTTTAATAAAAATACAAAATTTTATTAATTTTTATTTTCTCGCTATCGCTGTACAATAAAATATTACATTAAAGTAACATTATTTTGTACACAATATGTTTTATATATACGGACACACGTGTATTTAGCAAATTTCTTTGTGCTTTCTTCTTGTAAAAATGATTTTCCATGCGTGGAAAAACCACTATACGGTAAATCGTCATATAGTAGTGGTAGCTGGTAGTAGCGACTACCAGCCGTAACCGACGCAACGTCGATCCGTCGTCACCGGTTCGTATACCTGG